CTTCAATGACCCAAGTTAGCCGAGATTAGCTGTTTTTTATGCTCAGAATATGTTTGGTGTGAACGCAGCATTCGACTACTGCAGAAGGTCACAAGCAATGCTTAATCACCTGATTATACAATGTATGGTTGCAGGGCTGCGTCATGAAACCACTTGATGGCAGGTTGGCAAAGCTGCTTTGCATATAGTCAGAAGAGGCTCTGAGGTACTTTATAGAGCCATATAAAGTCAGAGGCAAGCCACAGATAAAGAGATAGGTCTGCGTGACTGGATTTGTGGTTTCTGCAGTTCAGAGGCGAGATCTCTCCCAGTAATGTGAAGAGAGAGGAAACGGGAGATCTTTATAGGAATAGAAAGTCTGGTCTTTCACTGAGAATCAACAAACAGCCTAAGAGGGGCAGTTTGTGACATAATCAGGCACAGACTGAGACAGACACGCACTCCCACAGCAGCAAACAAAGAATATATTTGTCAGAACAGACTCCGGTACAGGGAGGAGTTGGCTGAGTCGCTACTCCTCTGACTCTGCATCCTCCTGGTACTCAGCTAAGCAGTCAATATGCTCTCATTTAATGAGAAAAAGTCATTACCTCCACCGCTATTCCGTCACCATTACCATAAATGATGACATTTGTACTCAGAGATGCAGGTCAACATTATTCTAAGCTTGGGAGACAATGATTTTGATTAATTCTTTATATATGTCATTAATAAGACTTAAATAGCACACACCGACGATCTATGAAGACATGAACCCCCAGAAAAAACTCATTTGAGTATATCCTTTCTTTACTTTATTAAGTTGTTCTCCAAGTAGTTCAGAATCAACAGTTCAGTTAAGAACTTTGCATTCACTACCTAATGGTTATACAAGCCAAACTAGGGCTTTAATGCTTAATTTAAAGCTTTTCAAATACAAGGTTGAAAAAATAATTTTACAATAATCAGACTCAATAATAAAGTAAACTGCAGGTGGTTTAATCCAGGTCCATTAAGGCCAAGCTCTGTTAACTTAGTTAAATGATAATAACTACTGCTCATCGTTTGGAGCTGGCCTTTATAAGATCAACATATCAAATGTTTGTGCAAACTAGATTTGCTCTCAGTCTGAGCTATAAGGAAGCTCCTGAGGATGCTAACACAACTTTTATGGACATCCTTGAGCTTTTTAGCCACAATAATAAAAGGGAAGCTTTAAGAAGTCAAAATGAGGCTTTCAAACTGTACAAAATGTCAATGATGGTGGTAGGAGCATCCTCTTTTCACTTCTATAGAAATATATTGTGTAGAAATTTGTCTCCCCTGGTCTGTCTCACTGCTACTTAGGGGATAAACCACATTTATCCTGTATTGCTAAGTCCCAACGCCCGTATTCACCACAGCATTTACCTGCCGCAGCACCCGGCTTCAGTCACAATGTGCCCTTAGTTGAACTTCACAACCCTCCATTTCCACCACAAACCTACAGAGCCATCTTTACAACAATGAAGTAAAAGCAGCCAGAAAGAGTCGAGTTATTTACTGTATAAAAAACACATATGTATCCCCTGTATATGCATCCCTTCACTGAGATGTGTGGTCTAAAAGCATTCTGTCTTATTGGCTCAGTGAATTAATTATGAGGTATAAATCAGCGGGACATGCTCTGCCTCACGTCTGAACACTATTTAAAAGGGTGTATATCTTATTTGTTTATTCTAAACATAAACGAACAAGGATAGATGGGTGTTTAAAGGCAGATTTAATTCTGTAATCATTTATTCTGACTGGCAAAAAGGCAACTGTCCTAGAATTTTTTTAATTTACTATCAACCTTAGTCTGTAAGGCATTTTGGTCATCCAGCTCGCTTTGATTAAAACAACTTTGACTAGTTTCTTATTTAGTGAAAACATCCTACTAACATGCTGGGAAAGACCTGCTTATTTCTAATTTCTGTTCATCTAGCTATTCTCTGTCTTGTTAGGTTTCTCTGCAGTCTTTCCGTCCTGCTGCTATAAATCAAATCTTTATGTTGAACATTGTCAGACAAGTCAACAAACACGCCAAAGAATCTTCTTTTTATAGATGTATCCCACCCTAGACGCTGCTTTACCCTTCTCGAGTTCCCCCTCTTCGTTCATGTCAGTCCGAGGTGCTGTATATACAGTACGCCTCCACACAGACGTTATGCACAATCAGTCAAGAACTAATAAAGTCTGCAACAGAACCACCAAAACCATCGCCCCAGCTCTATGACGAGATTGGAGTTCATGCAATTCAAGAGATGCAACACGATCCAGCTGAATGTCTGCTTGGCAGTCGGGAGGCGAGGACATGCACCTGCCGTCCCCCGGCGGCTGTGCTCAGCAACAGATCCCACGGCCTTCATTCAAAACCCCTTAGAGGAAGAGAAGGATTGGAAAGGTACTCCAAGCAGGCCTGTGTTCCGGTGGTTTAGATTTCTCATATAACTAAGATACATTAGTAAAATCTCAAATGTTTTTTTTTAAAACAAGTCTTCAATCAGCCTGAATAGAGGCTGGAGGGGGCAAAAAGCTGATCTAAAAACAGGGCAATAGAATGTCTGCGGAAACGATTTATGGTCAGAGATGTCAAAGATCGAGACTTCTGAAGAAATCAAAGAGAGGCATTCAAACCCAACATAACTGTAGCACCTATAAATCTTGAAGGTGGTCACCTTCTTAATCAGGTAACACAACCAATCACAAGCTTGCAACTCAATGCAGTTAGACAGCTGATTTCACACACATTTATATATCCAGTTTTTACAGAGAATCATATGGAGCTAGAAGAGTCAATATTTACAAACTCACATGTGATCCACACACGGGACAAGATCCACAGATGCATAGGAAAAACCCACACATGCATAGGAAAAACCCACACAAGCACAGGACAAGATCCACACATGCACGGGACAAGATCCACAGATGCACCGGACAAGATCCACAGATGCATGGGACAAGATCCACAGATGCATGGGACAAATACACACGGACAAATACACACATGCGCACAGGACAAAATCCACAGATGCATGGGACAAATACACACATGCACAGGACAAGATCCACACATGCACAGGACAAATACACACATGCACAAGACAAGATCCACAGATACATGGGACAAATACACACGGACAAATACACACATGCACAGGACAAGATCCACAGATACATGGGACAAATACACACATGCACAGGACAAGATCCACAGATACATGGGACAAATACACACATGCACAGGACAAG